TCGTCTGTCTGCCCCGTTGTCCGTCCCTCTTGTCTGTACGTCTGTCTGTGTGGCCTCTCCCGCCTATCCGTGCTTCTGCGTGCGCCTCCCGCGTGTCGACTAAATAGACAGAGAGATACTCTTAGGTTTTTTTGCGGTAAAGTCACGTAGGTAAAAATTTAAAATTAATAAAAGTAAAATAAGAATAAAATAAAAAATCACGACGTTTCGGAGGCAACACAAGCTTCCGTCTTCAGGTGGAACCGTCACAGCACGATAGATGTATCAAGTGAATTTAAAGTCATCTACGTGACTTTACAGAAAAAAACCTAAGAATATGAATCGTTGCAGTCACGAAAGCTTCAAATCTAGAAATAGAGAGACTCTCTGCGGAGTTTGTCCACCGTCCAAGAGCTCAAGGAGCCCCGCCCGACAGAAGCGAGCCGCTGCCCCCCAGCACCCACACGAGCACCAGGAGACGCGTTGTCACTCGCGACTTCACGCAGACTTCACTTTGAATTTTGGCATCCGTCTCTCCTCCCCACCAACCCTGTCCTCAATTCTTAGCACTGAAACCGTTCCTCCCTCCTCCCCCTCCACCTCTCGTTGTTTTTCTCATCTTTGTCTGTCTCTCCATCCCCCCCTCCCCACTCGCTCCGGCACTCTCTCATCTGCTTCCTCCTCCTCCCTTTGCTCTCCTCCACAGCATGAAACCACCTGTGTCAGACAGGCCCCCTAAACCACACTGCCACAGACCCCCACATCGCAACGCTGCCCTTGCCTTCCTCCATCAAAGCTACCCCCGTCTGGCCTTCTCGACTGTTGGGGCAAGTGACGTTAGCGAGCGGCTGTCTAAGCCGCCACGGCGCCGTCGGTGTCCCCTCACTGCTGATGTTTGCACGCCCACAGCAGGTAACCGTTCAAGGCCGGCTCGACCTAGGAGAGGGGGAGGCCCAAGACGGCTTCGGTCGCCGCTCAATTTGTCCACGCCCGGTGACCCAATGGAACACGGGTCGCTGAGTTTGCAGCGCACTGCGCCAACCACGGCACCACCGCTCCACCCATGTGTTTCAGACAGCCCTTAACCCACACATCACATCTCTGCTGCCTCTCCCCCACCAGCACCACCATCACGAACCCACGTTAAAACATACGGCAGCAATTTCTACCGCAATGCCCCCGCGCTCCCAGCCAACGCGGGTCTCATCTCGGCACGCCGCGAAACTCTTTCCCAGCGGCGGCACGAGTCAACAGCACACGGCAAACAGAAATGGCATTGCGTTGCGTTTTTTGTTTGCGTTGTTGCCGCTGCTGCCGCTGCTGTTGTTGTTGTTGTTTCGGTCGTTACGCGCGTGCCCGATTCCTCGTCGTGAGTGCCCCAGGCCTGATTGCGAAACGCGCTCCCAAAACAGTCGCTGAAAATTCGGAACAGCCACCTGGCCCCCCCCCCGTGTAAATGTTATTCTATTTTTTTTGAAGGCAATCTCCTTTCGTAGTCTTTTTTTTTTCATCCTCCTGAAAATTATATTCCAGCAGCGCTGCCCCCGAAGTTGAGTCGTGAAAGAAGCAGGTTTCTGGGCAGAAATCTTGCCGAGCATAACCTCGCCGTGTTGGAGAACTGATCTGGAAGACGTCGTCATCATATAACTACTTTTAAGATGCATTAAGAATAAATATATAGACCACGTATCCACACTGGGTGGTTATGCGCCTTCTTGGTCGCTTTGAAAATGAGTTGTTCACCGCAATAAATGAAACTGACATGTTTATTTTATTTTCAAAGTTGACATGTACTTATTTAAGTGAAAACCAAAATTAATGTAACGATGTTTTGTTTTCGTTTGTTCAGTCATTGGTGACAGAGCAGAGACCATCATTTCACTTATCTTTGAGATCTCAGTCTAAGCATGGGTGACTTAAAACCACAGTAGAACTCAGAATCTCAGTATTGCCAGCTCAGAGATGGTAGTATAATCCCTTGAGTCACCACGCAGTTGAAACACTGAGACAAGTTTCAGTGGGTTCACAAAGGTCAGTTGACAGGGCCGCGTGTGGTGGGCTGTGAGTGCTCCAACCTCATCCAAGTCATCTGGCCATTGTGGAAGAGTAGGCCTAATTCCCTCAATAGGGGCTCTATAGTTTACTGCAGTGAACGCCCCTCCTGCAAGCAACGGCGTGAGCTAGCAATTGCAGGGCTGCACCTTTGCCTGTTATTAATTTCAAGCAATCTAAGTGTGAAACCACAGAAAGGCAATCAATTCTTAGTGCACTATTTTATATTCACAAACCTGACATCACCAAGTCCCGAGACTCAAGAGTCCCGGGTCTCGGGTGAGGTTTTCCTGGGTGACCCAAAAAAATAATTTTCAAACATTTTTTTGGGGGTTGAAATGTTGGAAGCGCGGTCGGAGGCATGTGTTATTTTAGCAATTCGTGAAGAAAGGAAATTAAAAATTTGAGGGCGTATGATGTTTGCAGGCTGCAAGGTCTGAGTTGAGTCAGGTTTTAAACTTGACACTCCCCCCTAGACGCACAAAAGCTAGCGGAAAGTGGGGTGTTAAGCACTCCAACATGTGTTGCGCAAGCTTCGCCGTGGCAAAACCTGGTGTGATCCCATAAGGAATAACACTGCAGACCTGTCTGAAACAATTTTTTTGTTTAAGTGACCATCCTCCGATTATTTAGATGTTTAAAATATAATTTAAAAGCCTTATGGCCAGTTTGGACCCCCCCCCCCCCATGCAAATACAGGGTTAAAGCGGTACGCTGATGCATTATAAAAAAATTGTGCAAGCTGAAGATTTGTGTGTTTTTTTTTAAGTGACCAACCTTATTTTAAATGTAATTGAAACTCCTCATGACTGTGTAGAACCGCATGTATATTCCAGGTTCAAATCAGAAAGCAATCTTTTTTTTGGACGTGCGAGCCAAAGCTTCTACCCTGAGTATTATTTGCAGTGCTCACCTCCACTGGTTGGCGTTTACCGGTGGTAAATTCCACATTCCTATGGTGGGGCCCAGGCTATATTATTATTTTTGTAATTGATGTAATGCCGTTGCTTCTCCCGACATGCATTATGGATAAAAGCAAACTCTGGCGCAGATGTTTCTTGCTTAAGGAAACGCTACGGTATATCGGTGTGGAGAACCCAATTTTACTAATAGACAAAGTGTTTGCATTTATATCTGGGGGCGGAATATAGTTTCACTCATTTTCTTTCACACATAAATGCTCTACGTAAACGGATGAGTTGTTATTACAATACAGTATCGCGTTTTGCATTGAATAGGGCCCCATAACTTTGGATGAGTTGCTCTTGCCAATAACATGTGGTGTGGTAACAGCAGCTGTTTTTTTTTACAAGTCTGACCTTGCTGATGAGACCCAGAAGACGGAAACCGGTCAAGAATGTGCTTGCTAAAAAATGCTACTGCGTACTCTTAGGTTTTTTCGGTAAAGTTAATCATGGAAATAAAATAAAATAATAAATCATTATTAACTTTGAATTTTATTTTTTACCTACGTGACTTTACTGAAAAAACCTAAGAGTATGAATCCTTGCAGTCACGAAAGCTTCAAATCTAGAATGTTACTGCGTAATATTTTGTCTGCAGTGCCAATAGGCTGATAGACTTGAGCATTCTTTTTACTTGCATGCCACAAAGTGGAGGTTACGCGTAGAAGTGGCTTAATTATTTGTGCTACAATAGAAGCGCTGTGTGATTCACTCTTGAAATGTATGACAATTTAAAATGTCTCGGTGCAATTTATTTTTTTAAAGGTTCAAATGTATCCCGGTACAATTGAGCATGGAAGTGATTCTTCCCCATTGCTAGCACTGAACCAGCTGTGAAACATTCCCTTGCCTATGGTGGGGACCAGTCCACAAATGACTTACCCTCCCACAGCGTGGTAGTCATGTTATAATTATCAAACACAGGTGGATGATAGGCCGAGCCGAGCCCCAATCAGAATCGGAACTCTCTACCTTGTGAATTTGAACTAAATTAGACATCTGGTTCCACCACTTATGTTGAAGACCAGGCAGTTTCTTCTCATCCATGCTCTATTCAATTGCCATACTGTTGGTGACACCACACTCACCCCACCCAACGCCTCACCTGCTCACTCACCCATCCACTCACCGCTTGGGGTCCTAAACGCTTGCTTATTTTGCTTACGCATAGGGCCACCGCTGACTATTCTTTGCTCATCATCTCTTGGAGTGACGTGTCCCACCCAAGCCCACTTACTGAACAGTTTTAATGGTACCATTGTGACACGTGTATGTTCTCTCGTACACGTGTTCCTCTTTGTTTTTGCCTCTCAATGTAAAACCTAAAGTCGCGATTCCAAGACACGCAATGCAACAGGCATTGGCCAAACATCCCACGTGCTGAAAATGTGCCTGCAGATCACCCAACTGGGAACACACACACGCACAACTTGGCAGGACCCTCCTTACAAGAGTCTTGAGGCTCGGCGAGGCTTTCCTGGGTAACCAAGCAGAATAATAACGTATGATAAAAATGTGCCGGGAATATGCTTATTCTAATCAGATTCATGGCTACGCTGTGCGTAAAATCTGTCCCGCATGTATCACTGGCTGCCTTGACTAACTACGAGTCTCTGCTCAAACCGAGCAGCACTTTTATTCACCGTCATCGGATCTTTGTCATAGTCAAGGGAAGAACATCTCTCCGCAAGGCGAACAATCGTTGACTTCGCACGAAAGCGGCACTCGTTTTTTGAGCCTCATCGGGGACGATGGGCTGGTGGATGTGGCATTAGTTCGGCAGTTAAACAAAAAAAAAACCTTGCCTGTTTAGTCACGTGCGTTTGCTGCTGTACACAGCTCAGTTAAGTCGGTGTTCTTTCTTAAGCCTAGCTCTGGAAAGTCATGAAGAGGCATGTCCGTGTCAACTACCGAATGTATTTAATCGTCATATGTGTATTTGAAAAAGAGCATTTTTGTTTAAAAAAAGCATCATATATTTGTCAAGAGTAATAATGTGCATGCCGTTACAAAAACTTTGATACAATGTGTCATACAAAAAGTAAAACAATACGCTTAGGAGTTTAAAAGCTTAAGTTTACCAATGCTTATATAATTATATTTACACAGCAAACGACTTTTCGTGAATAGAACACACACACACACAATCTTATTGAAACTTTACAATTGTTTTTCAGCACACGTTTATACACATGACAGTAGTTCGGAGCTAAAACTCTGTATTCCAAATATGTTACAAATATGTACATTCGCTTGAGAGAATTGGAAATTCTGCAAATCAGCATCAAGCTCTTACGTCGTCTAAAGAAACGCAAAGTCCAAGAGACTCACTTTTTAAATTCTAAAATATCTTTCCCACGAATGAAAAAGAAAACAGATTTGAGTTAACTTTATTGTGTAGTACATATACTCGCATGTGTTTCCACGTTTTTGTTGATGCATCTGTACGGAGATATAGTTTATGCAGTCGATCTGCCGTCACGTTTGCAAGCATATAAACACATTCTTAATCCGAAATACATAGCGCTGAACCTGAGGTTTGATAAGTGTGTTTCTTTTTTTTTTCTTTATCACGTTTGTATGTACACGTCAGCAAATATATACAATTTGCAAAAGGGGGTTCCACTTTGCATCAAAAGCAAAATGTCAAAATCAACAAGTCTGCATATATGTTCAAAGCGCACAAACAAACAAAAACACACGCACACACACATACTGTGTATTTACAATTGACTCGAGACAATCCCACGTCATTGCATGCATTTTCATGTTCGCACAGGTTCTGAGAAAATATAAGCGTTCAGTATTTTTGTCGTTATTTTTTTTATTTCTCTTTATATTTCAGGGTTGCATTTGTAGAAAACGCGACTTAGTCTGGTAACGATAAGACGTAAATAAATAAATGCTGGAGGGTGGCATTATTAGTTTTGATAACGAGGAAATAAACTGCACTACAGCTGTACTTGTCGTTGTGTTTTCCACCATTACCTCTTGTCCGAAAGTTATCACCTTCGGAGCTGAACTGTGGCCATCGGCCTCAAAACAACCATGAGAAACTTCCGACTGACCGTATTTCACACGATGCGTTTCCCTCTGCGTTCACTATTAATCCACTCTATCCGTTAGTCAACACACAATCTGCAGCGTGAAAAACAGGCAAACACTTCTTCCAAAGTCAAAGTCAGTCCCCTTGTTCGTGTAAGCGATTAGACGGTGGATATCAAGCCAGTGTTGGAAATCCTGCATTTCCATGGCTGGGGGCCAGTCTTACACCCATTACGGATGACCCCTGTTGACTCCCCACAAATTGATACCAGTTTTATTCTACCGCGGAGAGATGATGGGCTGAGCCGGCGCGCAACTGGGGACTGAACTTGCGGCCTCCCGATTGCGAACCAAGCAAAGTGCTCTTCACCGCAGCGCAACCCGGTCCATTACGAAGTCATTAAAGTGCTATATTTCCCGCAGCATCTAACGCACACCAAACACAACTTGAAAAAGGGTGGGGGGGGGCTTTAATAGCAAACGCCGTGAAGGAAAAAAACAAAATGACTCGTGCAGTTGCAAGAAAATCGTCGAAAACGATTACTGTATGTACATTTATATAGTCATATATATGTATAAAGTACAGGGTAAACAGGTTTGCGTTAAGTCGAGCGAAAGAGCTCCTGCGAAACTCCGCGCGCGCGCACAAATGCCTCCGACATCGAAGTCGCCATCGTCACCGCCATCGTCACCCGGCATCGGCGCCGCCGTCGGCACCGTCGGCACGCGTCCCCGAAGGAGCCGTTGGATTAGCGGCAAGCCTCTCTTTGCGACGCCAAAAACACCGCCTGCCGCTCTCGCCGCGTCTCCAGAGTTCCGCGAGGGGCTGGCGGCGCTCGACTCGCCCGGAATTAAATAGAACTTTAAGTTGCCTTTGTTAAATACGTCGCGAAATATGCAGGAGAGGATTGACTGTCATGAATGATAATCATATTAAAATGTGGTGAGGCATGTGCGTAATGGGGTGAGGGGGGGGGTGGGAGGGAAGGGGGGCATGCCTGCCTCTTCATGTTCATTTTCGATATCGTCATCGCCCTTCAGGAAGCTCATTGCCGGCAGTGGCTCACGGAGTTTTCGCGGCCGGCACCTTGAGAACGACCGATGTGAAGCAGGGGGCACGCGTGCGTCGTGCACGTGTCTCCGTTGTGCCACCGTGCCACGGGCAGTGAGCGCAGAAGGTGGACGACGGTTTCAGAGACTGGGCGGTGGTTGACGTCACGCGACTCATGGACTGCTGCTGCTGCTGCTGCTGCCGTCGTCGGGAACGAAGCTGTCGCGAAGCTGGTCGGGGTGTATTGACGATGGGAGACGGCGGGGCGAGAGGACAGGAAAGGGAGGGAATGCGGGAGGATATCCCGAGCCCCCCACTCCCCCCCCCCTGTGCACTGGCTGGGAGTTTTATATTCACGCACGCTGCGGAGTTCCGCGATATGCTCAGCTTCACTCATCCTCCGCCCGACGACGTTCAAAGTCATCTTGAGCGAGTGCGACACCCAGCTGCGAGAGACAAAAGAACAGATATTTTAATTGGATCACAGCGCACCACTCCTGTGCGTACGTTCATAATGAACAAAAAACGTGCCTTCTTCTTGGTTCTTTCGGTAAAGTCACGTAGAAGGAAAATAATAAGAGGTGTTCTCCACCTGAAGACGGCTGCTTGCGTTGTGGCCGAAACGTCGTGAGAATTATTTTAATATGTTTTATTTTTATTATTTTATTATTTTTCTTCTACGTGACTTTACCGAAAGAACCAAGAAGATGAATCCCTGCAGTCACGAAAGCTTTAAATCGAAAAAAAAAACGTGCCGTGTGTGGGAAGAAAGTTCACGGCGAGCCGGGTTACATCCCCGCCCACGACTCACAACGCGAGAGGTTGTAATTCACGACGCCACCACGGACTTCCGCAAGATCGACTCGGCCTGAAAAAATCTTTGAGTGTGAGAACATCTGCACTGGGGAGACAAAGGCGGCCGTGCGTGATGCTGGCTATACCACTCCGCGGTGTATCATACTGGTCGTAGGTCCTATCAGCTAGCTGTAAATGTACCATTGGCTTATGGTGTAGCGGTTAGCACACTGCGCTACGAACCCGGAGACCCGAGTTCAACTCCCGCTCACGGCCAATGCCAGTGACGATTATCTGGACTGGTACTGGGCCTCCCCAAGGTCGACTCAGCCTCAAATGAGTACCTGGTGCGGTGTGTAAACGTCGCCACTGTTACTATATTAACATCATATGAATTGCAATTAAGCAGATACATGGTATTAATAATGAAGATTTTGTAACTCGCATAGATTACATTTACTCGAGAGAGAGAATGATTCAGAGGCGTGGGAAACCGCGTAATCAGAATCGTTATTTAGACCGGAGGAATCCGATGAGCTATGAAGCTCTTTTTTTACAGATGACCAAGTATGGGTGGGGTCAGCAAGCGCCAACAATCGCCCAAGCTCTGCGGCCCTACATTGGGAAGCTTTGGCCGACTCCACGAATGAGTGTGTGCGTGTGTATGTGATCGTGAAGGACGCTGCTGCTACTGGGCAGTTGTAGGCAGTCACCATCCAGCAACAACGGAGGGCAGAGGCAGAGGAGCTACGCTCACAACAACGAGTGGAGCACCGGGTGGCTAAAACACAGCAGGAGGAGGCACAGGTGATGCATCGGCCACTCATCTCAGTCAGTCGACTGTCCTGTGACCTCCTGCCAGCGGGCGTTCGACACTTCACGTGGCCTTAAAATGCACATAGCCTGGCACAAGCGCCGTGGTGACGTCACCGCCACTTAGTAGCAAACGGAGGTTGTTGTATGATCAGAGCGCGCGTGCGCGCGAGTTCCAGCTACGACGGGGGCCTTTCGTCACGCCACACAAACGCGGCGCCTCCGGCCGGCGGCCACGCCGTTGCGTCTGTGGGCCCCCCCAAACAAATGTGGAACGTGTTATGGAGCAGACCTCTCCGCGTGATCGATGGCCCTTCAAGAGCTTAAATCCCCGCTTAAGGAGCGTCGGTATGAAGTGCTATACGACCGGCTTCAAATTGTACGTGGATAATTTACATCGCACGTGTGCTTTGTGCGGTGCTGGCGATAGCGGTGGTGATTTTTTTGGTGGTGGTGGTGGTATGTTGTGATCTCAACTTGGCTTCATTTTTTGTTTTTTTACACAATATTTAGTGTTTCATGTTTTTATTGACTTCATCCATTCCATGTGACCGCGTGCTCCTGCCTGTGTGTTGCAAGTGCTCAGAGACCGTAGCTTACGTTCGGTTTATAACCACTGGCTGAAGCGGCATTAACATAATTTATCACCAGTCTGTTGTTGCAGCTATTAGAAACCCCACATTTAGAATTGGGTCTCCCCCCTCCCTCATCTATCAAGCAACGGTACAGCGTTTAACCCCATGCCAAGCACTGGAAAAATATTGGATATTCCGCGTTCCCATGACTGAGGATCTGTTGAATTTTCACAACGCGGTACCCAATTTACAATGCGGTACCTACCACAAAGAGATGATGGGCTGAACTGAATCCCCCAAAAAATGCCAAGTCTTTGTTTAGACATCAAGGTGGTGCTCATCTCCTGTTTACAGCGCTGTGCCAGTGGTGGAAATGCCACGTTGCTATGGCAGGAGCGAGCCTATCCACGGGAGAACCACTCTTGACTCCCCACAAAGTGGTACTAATTTTATCGATCCCGAAGGGATGATGTTTCCCTACCCGGATTTGTAAGTCGAGTACTCTTCCCACCAAAGTATAAAAAAATCTTGAATCGGCGTCTGGTTTTTTTTTCCTTCCTAAACGCCTTCCATATAAATGTGGAATTTCCACTCCTGGCTCAGAAGAAGAGCATTAACCCCCCGCCCCCCACCCCTTCCTGGAACCTGCCACTGATTTACAGATCTCTCTGCAAAAGACGCTTGGAGTTAAGTTCTTGATTGTAAAGTGCGTGTGGGTTACGCGGCGGGCTGCTGATCACACCAGGCCCGCGACCCGGCCACCGATTACTCCGCACCACCACCGAGCACCGCGCCCCCTTTGGTGGACCGCTGTGAGTTATAGGATTGCTATGAGTTATATGGCCGCTGTGAAATTTTATAGGGGGGAAAAAAAATCAACACGTTATGGGGTGGTTTCTTTGACTCCTAAATCCCATCAACTCAATGTATTGTTTTTCTTTAAATAATTTACAGACGAAAGCAGCAACAAAACCATTCCACGCAAGTAACTCTTTCTCTATCACCACGACCGCGGTTACTGTTCTTCTGAATTTCCCCCGTTGATTTCTCTACCCGTGTTGAGACTCGCTCCACCAGACACTGACTCTTTCGTCTCGTACTTCACACTGTATTTAGTCAAAACACTGGAGGTCACAACAACGCTCACCCACTCACCCACACACCAGCTCACTCACTCACTAGCCCACTCACTCACTCACTCACCACACTGCAGGTCACAATAACGCACACCCACTCACCCACACACCAGCTCACTCACTCACTCGCCTGCTCACTAACTCACCACACTGCAGGTCACAATAACGCACACCCACTCACCCACACACTAGCTCACTCACTAACTCGCTACACTGCAGGTGACAACACACACCCACCCAATCACTCAATCACTCACACACACACACCAACTCACTCATTCACGAGTTCACTCACTCACGCACTCACCACACTAGAGGTCACAACAACACACACCCATTCACCGAACCACTCTCCCACACACCAACTTACTCACTCACTAGTCCATTCACACACTCACCACACTAGAGGTCACAACAACGCACACCCACTCACTCAAACACTCACCCAAACACCGGCTCACTCACTCACTAGACTACTCACTCCCTCACTTATCACATTTCTCTTTCTGCTCATACCCTGCCACTGCTCTCGTTTGTATTGCTTGCCATTGTGTCGTATCCCAAGCCCTTGAGTCAAACGTTGCTAAATTCACCAAAATGCATGATCTATTACAACTTTGATCGGGCTGTGTGTTGCTTGCCAGATAACGTTTTTTGCTTTTGGCCCTGTGTTCAGCAACCATAAGAAAAAGCATGAGAAGTAACATTATCTTTTGGAGAGACTACCTCTGGTCACGAGCACGTGCAATGTCTCCCCCATTGCTTCAGTGTAGACAATGGACATGAACGGTACACAAAAAGTTGCATCCCCTGATTGTGATGCATGTAGTACTCATGCCGGCCCAACTACTCAAAAACGAGTTTGCCAAACCTCCCAATGCAGCACTCTCGTGGCTAATAATTATGAGACTCAATCTGTCCTGGACAAATAGATGATGTCGTAACAATGACGATACGACGCGTTCCTCTGCATCAACATCAGCCACGCGCAGGGAGAAGGAGACCAATGCAACTTGGAGATTTCCACCACTCGCTCGGCACCACCACGCCCAGTGGTCGTGTGAGCAGAGGGGGGGCGCCCGCTTCGACTTTTCTCGCAAAGGAGTCCGACAGTTGATGCATTCTGCGCGTTAAACATGAACAGTGACGCGCCCCCAGTTACAAAGTAACCCAGATTCACCGTCACAGGATAAACCAATCACCTATTAAAGTGGACACAGAGCCAAGCATTAACTGGACACAAGCACAGCACGTGCACATCACACACACACTCAAACGCATTGTTTCGTGTATACATGACAAGGGAGATGCCACTGTAATGGAATTACAAGAACAATTAACAGAGAACAACTCTGCGACCTGAGTCGTCGGGTTCGTAGCGCAGCTCGATAACTACTGTGCCGCCGTTCCACACGTAGGGGATTGTACAAAGATGCCCCGTGTAGCCTTAGCGGACTTTTTGGGGCAAGCGCTGTTAGCGAGCACCTATGAAGGTCGGCACGTCACACGAAGGGGTGGGTGGCGAGCAGCGCGCCCGGTCGACTTTGTCTCCCCCAGTGACGATGTCTAAACACCACACGAGGTACTCATTTGAGGCCGAGTCGCCCTAGGGGAGGCCCAGGTTCATATGATCGTCACTAATTTCAGCGGTGAGCGAGGATCGAACTCGGGTCGCCGGGTTCGTAGCGCAGCGCGCTAACCACTGTGCCACCGCTCTCCACATAGAAACATATGCGCACATACATACATTGAGTACATACAGACATGCAATGAGAACGTACATTAACATACACATACACTGCATCCGTATTGTAGAGAAAACATGTAACCATTATCTTTCGATTTACGAAAACTACATTTTCCAACATAGGCTTGAAAATACATTTTCAAACAATTATCTTCTGTGCATTACACTCACCCTGACACTGTAAACCTAACACGATACACGTCAATAGCATCGTACATACCCCGACTGTACGAAGGCACCAGGAGGCGTCTATTTGACGAGACGAGTCTGAGCCGCGGTCGTTGCGGCGATTTCACCGTGCACATCATGAACGGCGAGCCGGCGGGCGCTACGAATGGATGCGCGCGGCGGCGCCAATTCGCTCAACGCGACGCTCGACTCGATTTCGGCGCACGCGAGCGCCATCAACGTTGCGTTGAGTTCGAACGGCCGGGGAACGCCGCGGTGTCATTTGCAAGGCGTTACCGCGTGCCCGAGGGTCGTCGTGGGTAAAGCGCCGGACTGACACGTGGAGACATTGCGAGTTCAAAAATGCCGCTTGGTTCGGCATCATCCCTCAGGGGTTGATAAAAGCACGTGGCCACTTTGTGCGCGGTCAAAAGCCATCGTTGCACGGAGGTCAAACGGCTCCCGTCACAGTAATTTGGAATTTCCCGCTGTTTGCCACTAAATGATGATTCGTTTAATTGGCCGTGGACGCACGGACACCGAAAGTGCGGCGACCGGTATTCGAATTTCCCCAGTGATACCTCTAGGTCATCTCGGCCTTAAATGTATACCTATCAAAGGTGGGTGGGTGCGCGCATGTGGTGCGGAATTACGCCACAACTTCCCCCAGCCCAAATAGTTGTTCCCCAACAGTGCTTGCACCCTACACTCTACGAGTGAACATACGTGTGTCTCGTGCCGCTCTACAAATACGCAACCTTACGGACGAATATTAAGGACGCGAGCCGGCGCGACGGTTAGCGCACCGACAGCCCAGGTTGGATTCCTGGTCATGGCACACACGTGATAAATAATACTGCACACACGTGAAATATAATACTGCACACACGTGAATATAAAAACGGTGTAACGGTGCAGTGCATGCCTACCTGCTGACTTGACCCAGGCGTGGGCTTCATACACTGCATGCATCGTCGTCATCGTCGAAGGCTGAAAAGAGAACGTTCAATTTGCGTGAGGGCGGCATGCAAATAAGTGCTCTCACCCAGCAGCGGACATTCCACATTCTCACGTCGGGGTCGTTGTCCGTAGGGCGACCACTGCATCCTACTTGCTTGGATCCCCTCGCAAACCTAATTCAAGGCTTGCTGAACTCACGTACAATGTGCCAGTACGTGTACATTTGTGAGCATACAACGTTGTGCACTTTGTACGTGTCGGTGTGTAGCGGTGGTGTGGTGGTTGATCGCTTTGCGCTACCGGGGTCAATTCCTGACCAAGGGATTATCTAGACCCACATTTGGACTCCACCTTGGTCGACTCAATTTAATTGTAGCAAGGCACCCAGTGTAAAGGTGTGGTCAATATCAGCACTAGGGAGACGACAGCCATCCGGGGCGTTCGCGATGACACTTTGCACCGCCTTGACGCACCTCTGCTTAGGCAATTGATCCATGAAGTCAATCCACTGCTGGATGAAGGCAGCCTCACGGGTGATTGTTTATCGGTCGTAGGAGAATGACCATACTTCTCCACCCTGGTCAGCACGGATTAGTGAAGCGGGGACAGCCCAATGACCGCCCGTCACTTGCGTTGGCCATGAGCGGGAATCGAACTCGGGCCAACGGGGTTCGTAGCGCAGCACGCTAACCGCTGCGCTAAGCCACCACCACCCACCCTCGTGCAATAACATCGTCTATAATCGAGCGTACATATATACAGCACACGGTTTGTTGTTATTAATGGGTGCTGTTGGAACATTTGATGATTTATTCTGCGTTGTACAGCGCCCTACGAAAACTGACGCTATATTTTCACGTTAGCTTCGCATTATTTAATGATGGCGTTTCACCAGTAATTGATTGCTTTCACGAATGAGTGGACCAGGGGAAGGGAAGAGGGAGGGTTTCTTGATGTAAGTCAGAGTGGGTGCTGATAACATGGAGTTTAATGTAGTGCCATGTGTATGGGCTAACAGACACATACACATACCAACGACAAAGAACCCCCGTATAGACATTTCAGGATGTTTGGGACAAGTACTGTTCGTGAGCACGGGTACATGCGGTTTCATATACTTGATATACACTGCATCATACCCATGACTTGCTATTTGCAAATGCACACGTGGACACGTACACAATCACGGAGACAAAGATTCCCCGTAAAAGCTTTTCAGGCTGACAGGGCATGCGCTTGAAGCGAGCACCTCACTAAGGCCGGCGGAACGCACGAGCGAGCGTGCAGGCATGACCAGCAGCACGCGCGGCCGCCTTTGTCTCCCCGAGTGCCGACGCTCACACACCGCAAACCGGGTACTCATTTTAAGGCTGAGTCGACCTCGGGGAGGGCCAAGCGCCGGCCCAAGACAATCGTCAAGCGAGATTCCAACTCGGGGGGGAGGCGGGGTGTGTCGCGTTGTTCGGACGCAGCGGTGCGCTAACCGCCGCCCCACCGCTCCCCATCAACGCAGAGGGTACACACAGACAGACGCACGCACGAACGCAGCTCTTGGCAAAGTGACTTACTCTTCGCTTGGGTAAACCTGCGTTTTGAAATATTTATCACGCCACCCTGGACGGGTAAATTATGCATTAACTTGTACTTGGCCTCCAGGAATACCTTTAACAAAAAATGTTTGCCCCTCCATTTTATTCCAAATTAATGGATTACTCTGCCAGTTAATGTAGGAGTCGCGCGGTAGACACACGAATACGCGACTGTAGGTGCGCAGGAGAGACGCGCGCGACGCGATGCTTCCGTGCTTCTAACCCAGTGGCGAGTGATATCCGAATAGGACCTGGGCATGCATCCGTCCCTTCATCAACCCGCACTGTGGTGGCGAAGGAAGGTTAAAACAAACCTTCGATTCGGCGTGGGAAGGCTTTCATCCAGCTAGTGGATATGAAAAGGAGGTTGTAAATAATGGTGTCTTCTACCCACACTATAGAGCTCTACACTATCGGAATGTCATACACGGTGGAAAATAAATAACATCTGTGTAACCATACAACAAGGCACAATGAGGCAAGTGCTGTTTGTGAGCTCCGAGTCATTCCGAAATGGTGCTATCGCCATGCCCAACTGCCCTTGTGTGTGCCCTGCTGCTGATGGTAACACAGCGCAGCAGGTACCCATTCAAGGTTGAGTCGACCGACTGAGGCACAGGACACGTGGTAGATACCATCTGCCACTGCTGGTGTTGTTCATGACCGGGAATCGAGCCCAGGTGACGCGAGTGCGTTAGCCACTGCGCCACCACTTCCCACTCGTGAGTGTATACAGAGACAAAAGACAAAGATCCACCGTATAGCCTTTGACAGCCTGGAGGGCAAGTGCTGTTAAGCGAGCACCTATGAAGGCCGAGGGGGTTTCGTGGCCAGCACCATGCCTGGCCGCCTTTGTCTCCCCAGTGGTGATGTTTACGCATCGCACCATTTTACGGCTGAGTCGACCTATGGGGGGGGTAGCCCAGGACTGGTTCAGATAATCGTCACCGATTCTGGTCATGAGCGGGGGAATCGAACTCAGGTCGCCGGGCTCGAGGCGTAGTCCGCTAACCATCGCACACACGTGCACACACAGACTACATGCATCCAACACATAGACTACATGCGTCCAACACATATAGTACTAATGTTGCATTGTGACTTAGCGATGTGTGGACGCACACACGAACAGACGCACACGCGGTGTAGTTGTGTGACGTTTGCCGAAATCGGATTGGGATGAGCTAAATAATAGACGACATACCGGGATGAGCGAGCGCAGGAGGATGGGAGTGACATTGGCGAGCCAGGCTTACTTGCGAAAATCAGCGCGCACACCGAACAATAACGCTTGCAATCGGTGCGTCTCGCTAAAACGAAGAATCACGACGGAGACACCGACCAAGGCGAAGATAGGAAGTCTTGGAGCCGTGCACGCTTAGAATTGTACCGAGAGGCAGAGAGGGGAGCACGTGGCTTGAGGGAACACCGAGTGACTATTTCACAACTAAACTAAAACTGAACTAAATTAAAAAATTTCATTATACAACAATAAAAAGTTGTTTTTATTTTACGGCCCACTGAGCTATGTAGCTCTTTTTCAGTGGCGACCTGGCCACACATGATAGCTCAAGGAAGTGGCTTATCCCGTGGAAATGTATAGCAGCAGCCAAACACTGTGAATGCACGTTGATTCTAAATGTGGAGCAAAAAAAAACGGAGGGATCCGGAGAAAAATCCACATGACCACGGGGAAAGAGAACACGTAGACTCCAAATATACAGCAGCAGGCATCAGGATCGGTATGAAACCCACGGCCTCCTGTATACCAGGCGAGGTAGTTAACATCTCCTAGCCACGGCGGTGGCCCCAGTAACTGGGCTGGGGCAGGACACTTAGCGAACGGGCGTGATGGCCGATACACGAGACTGGTGACGGAACGGCAGCCGAAGGAGAGAAACTGACTCGAGATGCGGGGACCGCAGCGGAGATGGAACGATGAAATCTGTTAATGTCCAGCGCCGCTCCCCACAGCGAAACGATTGGACATCGGCAAAATAATGTACGAACCCGTATAAATATGTCCGTACATTTAACATATGTTATGATGAATACAGCCACGCACGTGAGTCTGCACACGTGTGTGGGGTCACAAGTCAAAACTAAGACAAGGATCCCCGTTGAGCCTTGCAGGAAAAATAGGGGAAAGTGCTTTTAGCGAGCACTTATAAAAGCCAGCGTGATGTTTATAGGTGTGGCGTGGCCAAAATCACGCCTGGCCGCCTTTGTCTCCCCGGTGCTGAATTATACCCACACAACGCATTAGTCGACATTCAGTGGGCTCAGAACCGGTTCAGATAATCGCCACTGATCTTAGTCGTGGTAGGGAATTTAACTCTTGTCACTGGGTTTGCAGTAAAGTGCACTAACCAACACGCTATTGCTCCCTGTAACATTTACAACGCTAATAAACAAAGATCGAAGATCCCCCATATTATAGCCTTAAAAGGTTGTTGGGGCAAGGGCTGTTAGCAAGCACCTATTAAGGCCGGCACAGCACACGAGGGGGTAAGTGGCCAGCACCTTGCCCGACCGCCTTTGTCTCCCTTAGTGCCTTTGTTTACACACCGCACAAGGAACTCATTTGAGGCGGAGTCGACCTAGGGGAGGCCCAGGACCTCTGATGAGCATTTTTGGCTACGTACGAATAAAGTTCAACATACATAAATACAGCACCGGTTCTAATATTCGCCATTCTTGTTAGTCATGAGCGGGAATTGAACTCAGGGGGGCCAGGTTCGTTGCGAAGTGCGCTAACCATTACGCGACCGTACCCCCCACACACACTCACACACACAGTGAAAAATAGAATGCATATAGCCTCAAGCACACACAAGCACGCACAAGACACCTTTCCATTAAAGAAAACGGGGGTAACACTAACATTTGCGTGGTTATTGTCAATATGTTCATACAAGTAATGGCTGTTTATCTATTTACTTCTCAAAGTCAGCTGTGGACATTCCATAATTCCAGTGGCGGGATGTAAGTGTCTCTCAAGAACTACCACTGGTTGATTTGCGTACAGTGGTACTACTCAACCCTGTCGAGATCATGGGATGAGTCGAATCCGGACCAGGATTTGAACTTGTACGCTCTAACAGGAATGCATCCCGAATGTGCCAATACAATATACATATTTACCAGTGAAAAAAACCCAAAATGCATAGTTATTTGCGTGATTATTTTAAAGCGTGCATAATTCAACCACATATCATGTTATAATGGTTGTTAACGCGTGACAAATTATATTGTTTAACGGTGAATGCTTTATTTTTTTAAGGATCAAAACATCATAATCAGGCACCTTCATGAAGACTCGTACATACTCAACTCTAATAACACAAATAACGACCAAAGAAAACTATTAAATAAACACATCGGTGGTCCTGAGCCAACTTTTATTTAAATTCCACATTCCCACGGCCAGGGACCAACCAGTAACAAATCCCTGGACTTTCCCATGAAGCGGATACCCAATTTTTTACACCTCAGAGGGAAGATGATGGGCCGAGCATAGCCCACGGCTGGTTAGAGTACTCTATAGTGTTTTAACCACAGGACTCCCCGACTGTAATTGATGACTGTGTTACACTCACGGAGTACAGGGATGTACTGCATGTTGCAATGCACTGCGTGGCTGGCATCGTGTGTATGCAGCACAGCGATATGCATAGAGACACTGCCTGTTATGAAAGTGTTCGGAGGTACCCTGTCATGCATTAGAGACTTCAAATATGCTCGCTGGTGATTATATGCGACCTAAAGCCCCCAGAGAAAGCTTGAGATTGTTAGCATGTAATTATTATTACATAAATAAGAGTGATGTTTCATGAGAATCATATCCGACATCATAAGAACAATAATATCCGGCTATTATTGGCGATGACAATGCGCATGTATTGCAGATACGGTATGTAAATCTAACATACAATGTATGTAATAGGTAAAAAAAAAAACACGTGTAAAGGTGCAGCCTCGCAATTGCTTGCGCTCGCCGCTTACGGCAAAAGGGTCGACCACGAGAGGAGGCGCTGGGACACTTCTCCAGAGGGTGTTTGGCCTACTCTTCTACCCCGCCCAGTAGCGACACCGTCACACGGGACCCGCGGACGGACTCGCTGTGGCGTCGCCCGTTCACGCCGCTGCTGGGTGGGCAAGGGATTCCAGAAACTTCCCCGACGTTTCGAAATGCCGCATGGGGAGGACGACCCGGTCCGCTCTGTGAACCGTCACACGACCCGGCAGTGTCCCCTGTTCTATCTCTATCTCTCTCTCACACTCTTTCACGTTTTAACTACGACGTGAAAGTGCGGTACGCGATGACCCTGCCCGAACACAAACAAGGGGGCACGATGCTCATCACGGTTGGTGAGACTCCGAGCCGGTGGTGGTAATTCCACATTGCGGGAGCGAATTATTTTGATGGGATTGTGTATCAATAGTTAATTGTTCAAAACACGACATCGTTAAATGAATCTGATGTGTAGCTAATTATACAGGTGTTTGACATAGATTCATAATAGAATTTTAAGTGCTTTCAGAAATTATCTGACCTGTCATTAATCAAGAGGGCATTAGTATTAAGTGTATTGTAAATACCCATGCACTCAGCATGTAGTACTTTGCACATGGGCATAACGCAATCTGATCTGTGTGGAGGTGTGTGCGCACTGCGCTGCGGAACCTTGTTGACCGGAGTTCGATTCCTGCTCACGGCCAACAACGCTGACGAATATCCAAATCAGTCCTGGGCCTCGGTTAGGTCAACGCGGCCTAAAGGGAGTACCTGAGTGCGGTGTTTACACATCACCACTGGGTAGAATAAAGCAGCCAGGCGTAGTGGCTGGACACACCACCCTCTCGTGCACCATGTTAGCTTTGAACGACGCTCGCTAGCAGCACTTGCCCCAACAGTCTGTTAAGGGGGGGATCTATTTGTGCTGCGAGCCGCTGGTGCAGTGGTTAGCTCGTGGCACGTGCTCAATCACAAGGGGCGTGCGCACTTGTCCCCCTCGCCACGCTTAGTTTGATTCGAGCTTAAATGAGTACCTGGTGCGGTGTGTAAGAAAAAGGCGGCCGGGCGTGGTGCCGACCACACCAACTCCCTGGTGCACCTTAGAAGGTGCTCGCTAACAGCGCCTGCCCCTTGTGGACCTAGGACAGGATATATCGCAGAACATACTGTACACAATTAGGAATCCGAGTCATAAATACTTTGGTTCAAATCGCAACCAGGGTCAGCTCTGTGACCAGTGTGTGTTATGTACACTTTATGAATGAGCAGCTGTTTATCAATCCACTGCTGGATGAAGGCCTCCCCAATGCTGAGTTCATTACCATAATTCACCAAATGTGGGTTTGGCGAAAGGAGTGGTTAAGGCCCGGATTGGACATCACTTGCCACGGATGTTAGCCGCTGCTGCTGCTCCACACAATGACTAACTTACTTTCAATTAGAACAAGACAACTATTGTAAACATAACCGGCCCGGTGGTTCAGCGGTAGAGCCAGCGACTTGCAATCAAAAGGTTGCGAGTTCAAATCCCCATTGAGGGTTCACTTAGTCCGTCAACCCTCCAGGGTATATACAATAGGTGCCCCACCTTGTTGTAAAAATCAACGGCAGGAGATGAGCACCGCCTCAATGCTCATTTGAGCAAGAAATCACTTTGACTTTTTTTGTTTTACTCATAAAATGACAAGTGCTGTTAGCGAGCGCCTATGAAGGTCATCGCGGATAGCAAGGCACAATTCAATGCCTTTGAAAGCCTCAGTGTTGATAAGTTACACAGACCAGGAGGTACTCATTTGAAGCCCTAGCGGACCTCGCATTGCTCCGGCCGCTCGTGTGCATTGTGGCCAGAGACGAATCGTGGCTAGCGGCAATTTGGGATTCAAACAAAATTCATTCCGAATGATATGCTAATGTGACATTTTGGACTTATGGAGCAGACAAAATTAGAACAACCAAAACAATTCTTGAGAAGTAATATTTTGAAGAACTCATTGCATTAGTGGGGTAGGGGATGAATTGTTAGATACCTAGCACACACATCACGATTACACTCTGTCACTTTCTTACCATCACTCATACACGCTCGTTCCAAGACACGAGCACAATAACACTCATTCACTCACACGCACACTCTCCAGCACAACACACACACTCACACACAGACCCCACACATGATCTCTCCAGCACAACAGCAACCTCCAGTAGCTGCTATATCACGGTGACATCACCGTAGTGCCAGGCTAGGTGCACTTTAGCCCCCCAACACACACACACATACGCGACATCGCTGTGACCCCTCTCACCTCGCTTGCAGTCGAGTGCGATCATCTCCTTGCCATCGTGCGTCTCCTGCGTCTCCAAAATCCTCACCTCCGCTCCACCGCCGCCAGCGCCAACGCCACCAGTGCCAACTCCGCCACCGCCGCCGTACCCTGCGAAGAGGTATGCAGGCGGTGGCACGCGATGGCCGGACTTGAACACCGTCTGGTAGACCAGTCCGTTCCCCGGCGGCGCGGGCAAACCTCGCAGACCACCGCCGCCACCACCACCGGTGCCGCCTCCTCCTCCTCCACCACCGACGACGCCGCCGCCTGCTCCCGGCAATCCGCCAAAGTTGGCGGCGTAGCCCGCCACGCCGTAGCGTGAGAAGTATGCGGGCGACGCGCACGCGTAGTACGCGTGCGCCTGCGTGGAGGAGGAGGGCGATGCCGCCGCAGCTGCCGCAGCCGCCGCAGCCGCCGCACTCAGCATGCAGGGAATGCCCGCGGCCTGCATCGCCGCCTGCTGCTGCTGCTGTTGGTGATGGTGGTGGTGGTTGTGGTGCTGGTGGTGGTGGTGGCCGTGGCTCTGAGCGTCCGAACAGTTCCTCTCGTCCGATGCGCCCGCAATCTCAGCCAACGACCACAGCTTGGGTTTGGTGGGCGTCACGCCGTTGCCTCCGCCGGTGTTTCCGTTGCCAGCGTTGCTGCCGACGGCGGCGGCGGTGACTGCAGCACCCACGCGGTCGCCACCGCCACTGCCGGCACCGCCCGCGTTGATCCTGGAGGCGCCGGGCGACTGCGACGCGACGAAGGTCCCGTTTGCCGGCGCCTGCCCCGTGCTCGAGTTCTCCAGCACCGGCGATCCCCGGCCCAGCCGCGGCGCCTCCGTGCCGGCGACGGGCGACGTGGTGAGTATCGAGGGCGACGCGTTCATGGCGGCCGATGTGTGCTGCACCAGCGAGGGCCGGTCGGGAGCGCTGGCGGGCTGCAGCGAGCCGGGCGGGGGAGTCGCGAGGACGACGGTGGCGCCACCAATGCCGCCGGTCGTGGAGGTCGGGAAGAGTCGCTCGTCATCCCCGTCTGACATGTCGCAGTCCGGGCCGGCGCGGCGCGACGACACCGCGTCGCACTTCGAGGTGCCGCCGCCACCGTCTCCCGAGACGGCGATGCCGTGGACCCTGTCATCTGCGCGCGAGCAGCACACACGGACCGATCGTCGCGCACGGGTGGAGGGTCAGTTTAGTTTTCGAGATGCGGGCGTCACCGGTGAACTCCGCGCCAACTACTCCCGCCCAATCCCCCAGAAGGTGGAGGTGCCGGGGAACTTCTGCTTGACCCGGCACGCGTGCTCCGACCGCCCAGTGTAAGATCGCGCGCGCTGGGTGGACAAACCTTGGGACTCCGACGCCGGCTCCGACACGTTGAGGATGAGATCTCCGTCGCGATCGCTCCTCTCCGAGGAGTCGCCCAGCTCCTTGCCACCACCGCCGTCATTGTCGTCGTCCTCCAGCTCATCGTCGCTCCGCGCCTTGGTCACCCACGTCATTTTGTTCTCCTTCTTGAGCCTCCGGCGGGCGTTTGCGAACCACGTGGAGACCTGGGTTGGGCGCGGGGATGTGGGGGGGGGGGGGTGACGGCGTGGTCAGGGCACACTTGGGGCGAGTGGTGGTGCCAGCGACACCGTCACGTGACCAGGGGTGTCAGATAACGGACAGGCCACGTGGTATGTTTACGTAAACATTCGTAGCGCTTCGCTTAACAAGTATCGAACGCTCATTCCAATGACCCGTTCATTTATCACCCGCCACTGATGTTGGCAGCGATCAGGAATCAACAGTAGTTGTCCTATGGTTAGACGTGTCCCACCTTAGAAATGTGTAATTTTCATCACTGGCTGAGGGGTGTAAACAGGAGATGAGAACCGCTGCTATTTTCACTTGAGCAGGAAATCACTTTGACTTTTTGTGTGAATGCGTAACCAATAGGGACACTGTAAACATGGGTTTGCCAGACACTTGAAAGTTTGACGACAACAACAACAAATCCATGCTGCGAAAGAACTGACTATGCCAAATGCTGTGGGTCCAGAGTTGAGGTTACAAAGAACAATGAACTCCACGGGGCTAGGGTTGTACATTCATACCACTCTGCATACACCGAAGTATTTGAAAAGGGATTAAGAATCAAAACATATTGAACTGTGGCTTCAATGAGGCTAATAAGGAATACAAACGGTGAAGGTGCAGCCCTTCAGTGACTTGTTCACGCCACTGCTAGTGGAAGGGCCTCGAAGAAGCTCTTGAGAGCCACTGTCGATTGTAGTTTGGCCTCCTCTTCCACACTCGATACACATCGTGATAGAAGTCAGAGTAACCCACACTTTACCTCACCATACGTGACCTATCAATCGACTATCCTACAACACCTGGTATACCCGTGCATTCCTAGTGCTAACCAGGTGGACCCTTGCTGGTATGAGGTCACGAGACGGAACTGGGCGTTGTGGGTTGACTGCGTTGTGACTGTGCCAACTCGTCGCTCCGCCCATCGTTGCGAGCGTCGGAGGCTTCACCCTCCTTCAACTGCCTCCAGCAACTGCCTCAAACAACTGCCTCCAACAACTGTCTCCAACAACGGCCTCCATCAAATGCCTCCAACAACTGCCTCCAACAACTGCCTCCAACAACTGCCTCCAGCAACTGACTTCAACAACTGCCTCCAACAACTGCCTCCAACAACTGCCTCCAACAACTGCCTCCAACAACTGCCTCCAACAACTGACTTCAACAACTGCCTCCAAAAACTGCCTACAACAACTGCCTCCAGCAACTGCCTCCAACAATGGCCTCCAACAACTCCTTCCAACAACTTCCTCAAACAACTGCCTCCAACAACTGCCTCAAACAACTGCCTCCAGCAACTGACTTCAACAACTGCCTCCAACAACGGCCTCCAACAACTCCTTCCAACAACTGCCTCAAATAACTCCTTCCAACAACTGCCTCAAACAACTGCCTCAAACAACTGCCTCCAACAACTCCTTCCAACAACTGCCTCAAACAACTGCCTCAAACAACTCCTTCCAACAACTGCCTCAAACAACTGCCTCAAACAACTGCCTCCAGCAACTGACTTCAACAACTGCCTCCAACAACGGCCTCCAACAACTCCTTCCAACAACTGCCTCAAACAACTGCCTCAAACAACTGCCTCAAACAACTCCTTCCAACAACTGCCTCAAATAACTCCTTCCAACAACTGCCTCAAACAACTGCCTCCAACAACTCCTTCCAACAACTGCCTCAAACAACTGCCTCAAACAACTGCCTCCAGCAACTGACTTCAACAACTGCCTCCAACAACGGCCTCCAACAACTCCTTCCAACAACTGCCTCAAACAACTGCCTCAAACAACTGCCTCAAACAACTCCTTCCAACAACTGCCTCAAACAACTGCCTATAACAACTCCTTCCAACAACTGACTTCATCAACTGCCTCAAACAACTCCTTCCAACAACTGCCTCAAACAACTCCTTCCAACAACTGACTTCAACAACTGCCTCCAACAACTGCCTCCAACAACTGCCTCCAACAACTGCCTCCAACAACTGCCTCCAACAACTGACTTCAACAACTGCCTCCAACAACTGCCTACAACAACTGCCTCCAGCAACTGCCTCCAGCAACTGCCTCCAACAATGGCCTCCAACAACTCCTTCCAACAACTTCCTCAAACAACTGCCTCCAACAACTGCCTCAAACAACTGCCTCCAGCAACTGACTTCAACAACTGCCTCCAACAACGGCCTCCAACAACTCCTTCCAACAACTGCCTCAAATAACTCCTTCCAACAACTGCCTCAAACAACTGCCTCAAACAACTGCCTCCAACAACTCCTTCCAACAACTGCCTCAAACAACTGCCTCAAACAACTCCTTCCAACAACTGCCTCAAACAACTGCCTCAAACAACTGCCTCCAGCAACTGACTTCAACAACTGCCTCCAACAACGGCCTCCAACAACTCCTTCCAACAACTGCCTCAAACAACTGCCTCAAACAACTGCCTCAAACAACTCCTTCCAACAACTGCCTCAAATAACTCCTTCCAACAACTGCCTCAAACAACTGCCTCCAACAACTCCTTCCAACAACTGCCTCAAACAACTGCCTCAAACAACTGCCTCCAGCAACTGACTTCAACAACTGCCTCCAACAACGGCCTCCAACAACTCCTTCCAACAACTGCCTCAAACAACTGCCTCAAACAACTGCCTCAAACAACTGCCTCAAACAACTCCTTCCAACAACTGCCTCAAACAACTGCCTATAACAACTCCTTCCAACAACTGACTTCATCAACTGCCTCAAACAACTCCTTCCAACAACTGCCTCAAACAACTCCTTCCAACAACTGACTTCATCAACTGCCTCAAACAACTCCTTCCAACAACTGCCTCAAACAACTGCCTCAAACAACTGCCTCAAACAACTTCCTCCAACAACTGCCTCAAACAACTGCCTCAAACAACTGCCTCCAACAACTGCCTCCAACAACTGCCTCCAACAACTTCCTCCAACAACTGCCTCCAACAACTTCCTCCAACAACTGCCTCAAACAACTGCCTCAAACAACTGCCTCCAACAACTGCCTCCAACAACTGCCTCAAACAACTGCCTCAAACAACTGCCTCCAACAACTTCCTCCAACAACTGCCTCCAACAACTTCCTCCAACAACTGCCTCAAACAACTGCCTCCAACAACTGCCTCAAACAACTGCCTCCAACAACTGCCTCCAACAACTGCCTCCAACAACTGCCTCCAACAACTTCCTCCAACAACTGCCTCCAACAACTTCCTCCAACAACTGCCTCAAACAACTGCCTCCAACAACTCCTTCCAACAGCTGCCTCCAACAACTGCCTCCAACAACTCCTTCCAACAGCTGCCTCCAACAACGGCTCCCAACAACTCCCAAGTAGCTTCCTTCTATACACACGCACACACACACACGGCTCTCTCAGCAACACCACCCACCAACCTGGGTGAGCGTCATGCGCGTGATGATGGCCAGCATGATCTTCTCCCCCTTGGTGGGGTACGGGTTCTTGCGATGCTCGTTGAGCCAGGCCTTGAGCGTGGCCGTGGCGTCGCGAGTGGCGTTCTTGCGGAACGCCGGGTCCGCCACGCCACATCCTCCGGCCCCGTATGGGTATCCGACCGGACCCAGGCTCGGGTGGCTCGCGCCGCCGTAGGGGTGGTAGGTGAGGGGGTGCGCATCGTAGGGGGAGCTCTGCGGGAAACGCGGGGGGGGAGAGACGGCACGTTGAAAAAGAAAGTTACAACGTATGTGTGTACGTATGTTGAACTTCTTTCGCACCGTACGTAGCCAACGATGCATATCGGAGGTGCGGAGGAAGGATAAGAAACGAAACACAAATAGCAGTTCTAAAGAAATGAGTTTTCAATCTATATGCTTTGAAAGTGCAAAGCTCCGGTGGCTTCCTAATATCAGAAGGAAGAGAGTTTCCAGACGTCCGCAGAAGCGCATCCGAATGCGCGCGATGCGCTAGCCACAAGCTGCTGCTGCTGCGAGAATGATCGGAGTTTGCATGAGGGTTTATGCTCCTTGACGAGATCTCGAGGTATTGTGGTTCGATTGTGCAAGCCCTTTGTGTGTAATTAGAGCGACCTCATCACGCATTCGTCCGGCAACCGGAAAAACCTGGGGATGCTGCGCGCGATGTAATGGTCAGCGCACTAGACTTGCGAGCTCGAGGTTTGCCAATCCGATCCAATCTCCCGATTCACAACGTGAACCAATTGTCAAGTATATTCTTGGTTCTTTCGGTAAAGTCACTTAAAAGTGGCGGTTTTTTCTTAACGTTAAGAAAAAAACGCCACTTTTTTCAAATTTTCTTGCTGTAGTTTTCACACCTGATTGCTTGTGTTGCAATCGTCGTGAGAATTTTATTGTTGTATTTTTATTATTTCATTATTTTCCTTCTACGTGACTTCACCGAAAGAACCAAGAATATGAATCCCTGCAGTCACGAAAGCTTTAAATCGAAATTCAATCGCCAAGTGTCTTTAATCCCCACACCGCCACACCTCTGTCCACCCAGCAGTATGATTGGCTACAAGCACAGTTAAGTCAATCGGCAAGTCGTGTGCGGTGGGGTGAAAGTGTGGGTACTCCAACCTCTTCCAGGACATCCGGCAAAGTTGGAAGAATAGGCCAATACCCTGTATAGGGTCTCTCGAGAGATCGCTCAAGTGGAGGCTCTTCAATGGCATGAGCAAGTGGTTGTCCTATGGATGGACTTGCCCACAGCACAGGGATGTGGAACTTGCACCAATGGCTTTAGGGCTGTAAACCAGAGACGAGCAGTGCCTCGATGCCCATTTGAGCAGGAAATCACTTGGACTTTGACCTGCACATTAACTGGATTTCGTCGCTCCATCTCCTCAATGAACAACGTTCCCTGGGAATGCTGCATTAATGAACTGCTGGGAAGTGGAACATTCACCAAGGAAAGTCCTGAGCACTTCAACATATTCAATCCAATTAGCCCCATCAGTCAAAATCACCCCAACTCGAAAGCTCAGTGGGCCTTACATGGTAAAATAAAAAAAATTCAGTTTATAAAAGTAGTTTATAAGTGGAGTGCAGCTGTTGACAGCAACGAGACACTTCAGGGCAACACCTTTGCATGCAACAAAGGCCACGTGTTAATGTTAAGCAACGATCTCCGTTCACTTTTAATGAGTTACGAGTAAACTCCGCAATTCCAGTTAATTGCACAGTGCGTGATGTTGAGCAGGGGAAGGGCGCAGGCACTGCAAGTGCCCGCTCACGCCACTGCTGGCAGAAGGGCCACCCACTAGAGCGAGCTCTAGAAAGCACCTCGAGAAGGTAATTGGCCTACTCTTCCATGCTGGACAGACGTTTGGAAAAATAAAAGTCATAACAGCTTTGCGTCTTGTTTCACATCCATTTGCAACGTACGACAGAACGTACTGCACGCTTATTGTATCGTGGTTGTCGCATGGTCTAACGAGCCCGGCAGCCTCAGTCGAATTGTAAGTGTGCGAGTCGTATGTGTACAATTTTTACATTGGATAGTTAAATATAATATAGTTGAAATAGTTTAATAGTTTTAAATACAGGGTGGAGAGGTAGCGCGCACAGTGGTTAGTTCACTGCCCTGTGAACCTGGCGAACTGAGTTATAGATTCCCCGCTATGTAGTGGTCAGTGATTTCTGAACTAGTCCTGATGATAATGAACCTTTTAATAACCAACACTGACCAGTGTGGTGAAGAATAGGCCACACAAGGAATGGGGAGGCCTTGATCCAGCGGTAGATTGAAAAAGGACTGTCCATTATTACTATTGCTTGCATCACCATCATCCCCATCCATCTCGGGTTGGTAAAATGACCACCGACTTGTGTGGTTGATTTACTCCGAGCGGTAAAGCTCCCACCAGAGGAACGTGGAATTTCCATAATGATTATCGTTCGGGTTATCGAGATGGGTGGCGCTGTGCCAAAGCATTTAACTCACCATCGATTGACGTGAACAAAGTAGTTCGATTCGCAGGCAGGGTTAGGCTCAGCCCATCACCACTTTGAGGCCGATAAAATCGGTACTGGCTCGTCGAAAGTCAACAGTGGTCAATGCCGGGAGAGACTGGCCCCACCATAGAAAGAGTCTAAAAAGCATACAATTATTTGCGCAAACCACGACCGGCGGAAGAACCTCCAACAGAGGGTGCTCCAGAGAGCCCCTACTCTTCCATGCTCTCCAGGCGTCGTGGAAGAGAGCTGGGGGAACCCACACTTTACCCCACCACAAGCACACGACCAACTGTGGTGTTCCCATTTGTACTGCTGGGGGTGAACAGTGGAAACGAGCACCGTTGCCGCAAATCCCGCGCACCAAGTTGGAAGCGAACCGTCGGGCCTATTGATTGCAAGTGCAGTGCGTTCACCGGTACACCATCGACAGCGACGAGGAAGTTGTGCTAATTTGCGCCGATGACTCAGGGCCACCAACAGAGACGGGTGCCCTGGTTCGTTCAGAGCTGCGAGGACACACTTTGACTTTCACCTTTACTCCATTAATATTTAACACCAATCGGCATCAGAGAGAGCTTGAGAAGGGCCAACTTGATTGTCCGAAATGGACTCTAAATGCCGGTACCGCCAGCGCATTATACTTAAATCGCACGCCGCCACGCAGGCAAAATTCATTATTGAAAGTGCAATAGCAACAGGGGGCACCGGTGGATAATTTGAGCAGCTCGGCCTGGATTCGTTTTAGAAAGGCCACACCTGCTGCTCGCGATGGCTGTGATCTTCCCAGGGTGTTACACATCGTGTTATTTCACATCAAACACACTCAAGGACTTCCCGGATACCGTGTATAATTGATGTAGTCTCTCTCTCCATTTCCCCTGTAGCTCTCGTCCCCCCCCCCTCAATACCCCCCCCCCCCTTAATGCCCCCCCCTGCCAACACCACTGCCCCCCCCCCCCCAATATACTTGTACCCTGTCACATCCCCACATCCGTTCTTTTGCTGCGCCCCCCCCCCCCCAAAAAAAAATTTTTATAATATCATCAAGCGCAGTGCTCTCATCGTCAGCGCTCTCTTCATCTGCACTCTCAGGGCAAGTCCGTGTCGGTGGCACAAGCCGTGGAGAGGAGAGTTCGGCACATATTGTGTGCGCGTGACTTGTTCGCGTGAAACACCCTCACCTGTTTTGAAGTTTCTGTTCCTTAATTTGACTCTCAGTGGTTTAGAAAAGGAATTTTTCCGAGCCAACTTTTGTGACGGGGATTTCTTGAAATTAAACATTGTTAATGTGTGTGCATTGTTTTAGTTTCTGCTGTGATGAGATTGTATTTTCTTCGAGTTATCTTTGTTCTAATAGTAGTATTACATATTATAGCTTATAGGACAAGCGTGCAAACTATGAATAAAATGTTACTCCAGTGAATCATCTATTTTCTGTTTCTGTAAAAAAATTTTTTTTATTGAGACTGGGTTTCAGTGTATGAAGTCAAATTACACAAACGTGCCAGCCGTATAAATGAGTACACCACCGTTAGTCAATGGGCAGGTCGTGTGTGGTGGGGTGAAGTGTAGACCCTCCCACCACGTCAAAGACGTCTTTCCAGTGTGACTGAGTATGCTCAACAACCTCTAGGGAGGGACTCTCTAGAGCTCCCTCGAGTGAAGGTCCTCATGCCAGCAGTGACGCGAGCAGGCAATTGCAGTGCAGCGCCTTTACCCTTCAGCACAAAAACAATGTGAGGCAACGCCTATCTCCCCTGAGCCAGCAGTGGAAATTCCACATTACCTCGGAAGGTGCCAGTCTGTCCGTCCATATGATGACTTCAGCTGGCTTAATATAAAGTGACACACATGTCAGTCGAAAGGAAACAATTATAATGATGCTGTTCAGATGTCCTAAAGTTCCCATAGACCGGACTGCAGAGAAGTATGCCGAGAACAGGAAATAATTGAAGCAATGGATAGACATGGCCGCATAATTAATAGGCATGATGAAGTAGGCAAATATCCAGGAAGGCAACTTTGCGAAAGACTTGCTTTGTTCCAATTACGTGGCCCTAAAACGCGGAAGCATCCATCCGAACAAATTTTTAAAGAAGTTATTCCGAGATAAAAAAAAAAGTGGTCTCATTTATTTTACTGGTGCTCTACTCACATGGTGATTATCAGACAATTGGTGTGCAGGCTTCTATTTATAGGCGACATTCATGTATCCCGCGTAATTCTGTTGGTTCGGGTCACAGTTATGTAACGGCAACCCGGTGTGTTTGTTCTTGCAGTGACCTAACTTGTGCTGCGAAGCGTAATTATGGGCAATCGCTTAGGGACGTGAGCAGGTGATTGCCCAGACAATACTAACTGTCATTGTGGCAATTAGACTGTGGCAGATGTAGCGATTATAATGTGTGTATAATGTGTGTGTATGCACAGCCATGTATGTGGGTGTCTGTGCGTGTGCGCAAGGACGTGTGTGTGTGGTTTTATTTCAATGTTTGTGGACGAAGGGGCGATGCTCCCACGCCGGGTGATTAAAACACAAGTTGGGCACAGTAGAGACTACAGGTGATGCATCTACCGGTCACCACGTGCAGTCAAATCCCATAACACCTGGGTCTGCCTCCCTTCATGACCTCCTGCCAGCAGCGAGCCTTCCACACCTCACGTGGCCTCAAAGTGCACCCAGCCTGGCACGAGCGCTATAGTGATGTCAC